TGACTCATCAGTGAATTATTTTATTGGAAATAAAATGAATATATAATATTAACCATACAATAACATACAATATCATGCTAATGTTAAATTTTTCTATAATAAACTCACAGCGCACTTTGATCGCATTATTTGCGTACATTCCGACTGAACTCTAATAACCACGTGTTTGAATTACATGCGGCAATGGGCAATGACCTCAATGAGTTCACGCACTGACATTTAAATTCGGGCCACCCAGTTTGACGCAAAACGATATAGTTACTTAACATTTGTTCAAAAAATCGGTAAACTCTTGCGAAGAGATAACTGAAAGGCAACGTCGTTTTTGACCAAAAAAAACCATGTCAATACAAGATTATGTGTGCGAGGTTAGATTTATAGAACGTACATGACCGCTTACATGTAACTCTGTTTTTTTTTTTTTAATAATCAAGTCGCACGTGAAACACAGGAGATATTTTAGTTCGTCCATTTCTTGTTTACCGATCTTGAACTTTTTGTCTGGAATGCGATACAGGCGAAGAATAAACATTAATGATACCCACTGTTGTCAAATCAACAAGAGGCTCGAATCAGGAAGGCTCGGCTATTTAAAACTTCGTAAATAACATTCTTTTCATGTGGTAGACTTTATTCAAGTGTAACAAACGTAAGTGAAATGTATGGACGAGTCATAATACTCGTACCTTCGAAAGTTACGACTTTTACTCTTGGAATTGGTGACAAATACATGCATAAAATACAACATTGTTTCACGCAACAACAATTTGTATACAGCATTGGACTTATGGATTTTTATATTAATAAAATACATGGGCCGATAATATTTACCATATGCTTAGTATTTCCATGCCAGCGATGCTCGTAACCTGCTCGATTTAAAAACAGCTATTTGAAACAAAGACTCATGAAATCACAAAGGAAACTGTGGTAGAGACCCCTAATTATAAGCAGTCCGCGGCTCTCCTCGGTGTACCGCGGAGAGCCGCGGTGATTACCCCGGTGAACCGCCAGTTTGATTTCCTACTCTCCCCTTACTGGTACAATCAAGGTTTAACTAAATGATACTACGGTTTGTGTTTACTTGCATCTCATTGATTCGTTCAGAAATGAATACAAAGCTGCAACATTTTTAGTTGTGTTGATATAGCCTTCAAAAGC